TGGTGACAGGTCTCTGGTGACAGGTCTCTGGTGACAGGTCTCTGGTGACAGGTCTCTGGTGACAGTCTCGGTGACAGGTGACAGCGTATCTACGTTCTGGTGACGACGCTCCTTCTCTCCAGGCGCTTCCCCCACGACATGGCGAATGTCGTAAGGGCGTTGTCACTCGGATTGCTTCCACGTCGACACGCACCGTCATCTGCTCTGGTGGGGGGGGGTACTGTCACTCCGTGGTCCGACGCTCTGGGCTTACACATGTGGCCTGTCACACTACCTCGTTGGCGAATCTGTCTGTGTCAGGCTGACACAAACACACACACACACACGCACCCTCACACATGCACACGGACACACGCATAGTTCACAGACACGTACGATATCAATGGGTATCTTTCTGCACCTTATTTTTCAGACTTTTCCTTCCAGCCTCCTGCACTTCTCCCTCCTCTGTACGGCATCTCCCGGTTGTGCATCGTCCTCGCTTTCGGTCTGTTTTCGTCCTCATCTCATCCTCTGCCTCCTCTTCCTCCTTCCTCTCCTCCTCCTCATTCACCTCTGTCTGGACTTCTCCTCTTCGTTCTACCGGCGTCTCCCTCCTTCTTCATCCTCCCTTTTCTCCTCCCGGCGTCCTCCGTCCTCCTTCCTCCTCCTCCTCTTCCTTCTCCCAGCCTGCCATCTACTTGTGTTCGATAGCTACGGCATGCTCGCGCGGTCCGGCGGCGATGGCCAACAGTGGCGCCTCTACCGTCAGAATTCCGTCCGTCGACAGCGACGAGCGCAGCGCCTCTGGGTCGACGTCCTTGGGAAGGAAGAATTCCTTCTTGAACTCGCGGTACACTTGCCTGCCTGGCTCGTTCTCCTCGTGTTTTGCGTGAACGAGAAGACGCTGATCGACCGTCTTCACCTCCAGTTCCTCGGGCGCGTACTCGCTGACGTCGAAGCGTAGCTTCAGCTCTTTGCCGCCATCATCTGCCTTGCTGAGCAGCGGACTTGATGGGTTGTCCGTGAACCAGCTGCCGAAATCAATCCCGAGCCCCCCGCCGCCGGCAGGCACCATCGGACCGGCGCCGAAACCAGATGGAAAATCGGAACCGAAGTCGGTGCCCGGAAACTCGGATCCCTGCAGCGACGACGTCGTCTGACGCACGGAGGAGACCTGACGCGACGACGTGCGCTGCGTATTGTCGCCATAGAAGTCGCGTCGCATGCGCTCCATCTCCTGTTCGGTGCGCGCCATCTCGTCGCGCAAGCGGTCGTTCTGACCGTCGAACTCGCGGTTGACGATGGAGAAGTCGAGTTTCATCGTCGGAATGACCTTAATGCGCTTCTCCGTCTTGTACGTCGTCTTCGTGGTCTTCTGCTGCTGCTGGGTTGCCATGGTTACCGATTTGGTGCTACTGTTGTGGTCGACGTCTGATCTGTCGCTTGTAGTAGATTCTCGGTTTTGCCTCGTGCGTTGGTTGCTGCTGCTGGTGCTCACCGCCGCTATCGCCTGCTACGTATGTCCTTCTTCGTCTGCTGCTCTCCGTCGACTGTCTGCCGGCTGGGCCTGCGCGTCTGCCTGTATACACACCCTGCGCCTCCGCTGCTGCTGCTGCCGCTGCTGCTGCTGCTGCTGCTGCTGATTCGCTGACGCAGATCGTGACGTAAGCGTTCGCTCCCTCGCTCACGTTCTCTCTCTCTCTCTCTCTGTTTTTCTCCCTATTTTCCTCTCCCTCTGCACACGTGCCTGATGTGTCTATGTATATACTACGCTCTCCCCTCTCTCTCTCTCTACCTCTCTCACTCTCTTTCACTCTCACACACACTCTCTTTCTCTCTCTCTTCTCTCTCTCTCTCTCTCTCTCTCTCTCTCTCTCTGTCTTACACTCTCTCCTTCTTTCCGCTTTCTCTGCTCACACACACTCCTTTCTCTCTCTCGTTCTCTGTCTCTCTATCTCTGTCTTTCTCGTCTCTCTCTCTCTCTCTCTTGCTCTCTCTCACTTTCTCTCTCTCTCATCAAGTTTCTCTCTCTCTCTCTCCGTCTCTCTCTCTTTTCTCTACTCTCTCTCTCTCGCTCTTTTCTCTTCTTTCTCGCTCTAGGTATTTCTCTGCTCCTGTCTCGTCGCTGCGCTCACTCCTGCTCTCGTGTACCGGTTCTCCTCTTTCTCTTCTCTCTTCTCTCTTTTTTCTCTTTCTCATCTCTTCTCTCTTCTCGTCCGTCTCCTTTATCTTCTCTCTCTTCTCATTCCATCTCTTCTTTCTCTCTGTCTTCTCTCTCTCTCTCCCTGTCTCTCTTCTTCTTTTCTCGTCTGTTTTTCTTCTCCCGTCTCCCTCTCTTCTCTCTTTTCTTCTCCTCCGTTTTCCGCGGTGGGGGCTCTCGGGGGTGGTATGAGGCCGTGATTCTGAGCTCTGGTTTCTGCTTGAGCCTCTCTTCCGTTTTTCCTCCGCGTCGGCGTCCTCTCCCTTAATCTTCGTGAGCGGTGGCCTTTCCATGACCGTTCCCCTGCGATTCCCGTGCGCCCTGGGCCGCTGGTCCCCGGGTGGCGCCCCGTTAGCCCCCGGCTTTCGCTGGCGGTGGCCGTGTGTGTGTCGTCGTCTGTGCTCTGTGCGCGGTGGCGTGCCTGTACCGCCGTGGTGTCTCGTTGTCTTTCCTGACTCCGTGTTGGTCTGGGCCGCCCTCTGGCGCCCCCCCTCTGTCCTTTTTGGCGTCTGCCGCGGGTGCACCTTGAGTCGCTTCTCTCGACAGCCCTTGACTGCGGATCTCTCGGTTCAGTCCCTGTAATCCCCACCCATTTTTCCACTCCTGTATATATCATTCTCCTCATGTTCTGGTCCGGCCCCCTTGCTTGCCGTGTGTCTTTGAGCTCACACTCTTTTCTCCATCTATGGCCATCGTTTGCCCGTTCGCTCCTTTCCTCCGTGGTCTGCCTTTGCCTCCCGTTCCCCATTCAGCTTTTCTTTTCCCCGGACCCTCTCTTCGAGTGGCTGGGCGCCTCATCCACTCAGCCTTCCCATCCCCGCATGTTCTACTCTGCCCTGCGGCGCGCGCAGTTCGTCGCGTCCTCTTCAAGTTTTTTTCGCCCTTTCATGTCCGTTCGGCCCTCCTCCGGTTGCCCGTGTTCTATACGTTGCTATGTAGGAGGCCGTGTATCATCGCGCCTTGACTGCTTGTTCTGACCCTGCGTGTTGGTTTTGCGTCCCCCTGGTGCTGGCGCCCTGTCGTCCGCTGGCCGCGGCCCATTGGCCCCGAAGCCTGGCCTTCGCCCTTCTCAGTGCTCTTTGTGCGCGGTCCGCCCCCCTGGCCTGCCCCTGTTTGTGCCCGGCGCGCCCGACGCCCCCCGCGCTCCTTCCCGCCGCCACTTTTCCCGATTAGCTCGCCTTCCCCGCTGTTTTGCCCTGTACTGGTTTCCATTGCTCTCCAACATCCCCCCCACCATACGCGTGATGTAGCGGTCGCGCCCTCCGTGCACAGTTTCTTTCCCTTCGACCACTCCGCACGCTGTCACTCAGTCTTCTGGCCCCGGTCGTTTCGCCTCCTTCTAAGTATAATGCATCCCCCCGCCTATGTCACGCCACTGTGGTTCAGCTGCATCTCATACAGTTCTCCCCTCCCTTCAATTTTTTTAACTTCGTCTCCCACATTGCTTCCTCGCACTCGC